ATTACCTGGAATGCCTGATGATTATGTGCAAATGATGCAGAGGTGTTGGGATGTGGATCCATCAAAAAGACCAACTATTAGTGAGCTTTTGACTTTGCTGAAAATAAAAACAAGGAAACTTTTAAAAATAATAATGATATCAGTAGTAGTAGTGATTCGCAACAAATACACAAGACACATCCATATGCATATCATACAAGTAGAATATTAGATGAAGAGATTGTTAAATCTAAAAGCTTAAAATTTTATACAAATAACGATAGTTCATCAAATAATCTTGATTTTCTCTAGAATGTTGAACAAGGACGAATAAAAATTTCATTGTTAATTAATTGGAAACTATTATACATTAATTATCATTCTAGTAACAATAGTAAAAGAAAGAATTCCACTATGAATTTATTATGATTATTTTATTTATTTTTTATTTATCCTTGTTTTGTTCAAAGCTATAAATTATAATAATGTTTTGAAATAATAAACTTTTTACAGTCTTTTGATTCTTGTTAAATGGTGGCGAGGTATCATTTTGGTTAATTAATAATTATGACTTAACTTTTGGGCTATTCTTGTCAGTTAATTCTATGCTTGTTAATTAATTGGTTTAGACAAATCTGTGATCACATTTAATGGTGCCAGATAACTGTAAATAAAAAAAGATGGCCTTTTACAAGCTCAAGGGCTTCTATAAAGTTTCTTTTATTCACTTATGATCGATCTATTTCAGTCGTTTACCCTTGTTTACATTTATTGGCCGATTGCAAACTCGCTTTAGTTTACTTGCAATACAAAACAAGTAGCTTGTTTAACTGGCATACATTTACGATCACAATAATAACACCAGTATTTCCGATTAACCTTTAGACGATACTTCATTAACATCCACTAGTCAACCCAAACCTTTGCTTACTAATTGTTGTTAACACTCACAAATTAACCAACATGAGTGCTAACCTTGCTTGCTTGCTCACCAAAACAAACAAACGTGGCCTTTTACCAAAGTTCCACAATTGTTACTTTTACCAAGTCACTAACATATTTGTTGCTTTTATCAAAATGCTTTAAACAAAGAAAACAAAGACAATATTTTTTATTTTCATTTTCATTTTTAAAGTTTGTTAACGATTAATTTTATTTAATAAAAATAATTCTATCAGAGTTTTATCTTATTAGAATGTTAATTATTGAGGACCCAAAGTTATCCTTAATGAATTTTCATTGATCACTACAATAAAGATAAAGATAAAGATGGGTTTATTATTGCAAAGTAACTTAATCAGTCAATATTGGTATTATAAAAACTTCCATAATTATTTACACAGTAATTTAATAATAATTATAAATTATACATTGAAATTACATAAAGTACCGATGATTTTATCTACCCTGATCCCATGTATCCACGTTAAGAAAACTTCGAGTTTAATAGGCTGAATTTTTGTATTCAGCAAAAGAAAAACTTGGCTCCTTGGGAACAACTGATGAAATAAAAGAGAGATTGAGTCAGATGTTCTGACAAGATTTTATCCATAGCTTTAAAACAGGCCCAGGATTACAATTATAGTTTTTTGCTGCGTATCATAAATATGGGTGTCCTGTATCATTATTTCGAGTTGATAATAATAAAACCAGCGTTGAAAACTTCCGGTTTCCCAACATTGATTAAACCTGATTTCTTGTGTGTTGATTTCTTAGGTGTGTCATCGTTGCTACTGCTACACTATCATTAAGTAACTTTTTCAAATAGACAAGATCAATTGACATAATTTAAAACTAATATCAATCTAATTTCAGGAACAAACAAGTAGAATAAATGACAAAATGGTATCTGAAATATGTAAGTGACATTTACAACTTTGACACAAGAAGTTTTTTTAAAAAAATAACCTCACAAATGCAGCAGAAAGTTTTATTTTAAAACAAAATACCGATGATGATAATGTTAACAATAATTCTTGTCATTTCATTTTCGCGCTTAAATCGCTGCAGTTATTCGATACCATTAAGTGTGCTTATAGCTTTCTAGGCACAAGTAAATTCGTAAACTAATTAATTGACAAGCGCCGTATTATTGCAATTAACTGACAAGAGTAGCCCAAAAGCTAAGTCGTAATCAAAAGGCCATCTTGCAATATTACCATTTAACAAGAATCAGAAAACTGTAAAAAATTTATTACTTCAAAATATTATTATAATTTAAATAAAAATAAAAATAAAAAAGATAAATAATTATAACGAATAAATTTATAGTAGTCAGTCACTCATTGATTCTTTCTTGAATCTAATGTTTGTTAATTAATTAAATGTGAATAAAAAGCATTGTTTGTAATGATTAATGGATATCAATTTCAATTAATTAATAATGGAATTTTTATTCACCTTTGTTAACATTTAGAGAAGAGAGTTAAAATCAAAATTATTTAACGAACTATCATTACTTGTATAACTTTTTGATTTAGCAATCTCTTCATCTAATATTCTACTTGTATGATATGCATCTGGATGTGATTTGTGTACTTGTTGCAAATCACTATCACCACCACCACCACCACCAGTAGTATTATTATTAATAATATTATTAAGAATTTCATCAGCAAAATCAAAGAGCTCTTCACTAGTTGGTCTTTTTGATGGATCCACATCCCAGCACCTCTGCATCATTTGCACATAATCATTAGGCATTTCAGGTAATATTGGTGGTCGTAAACCTTCTGCATATATATCAAAAATTAAACAATGATTGTGAGCTCTATCATCAAATGGTGGACATCCTGCAAATATTTCCCACATCAACATCCCAACACTATAGATATCTGATTCTTTTGTGTTCTTCATGTTATTGCCTTTAAGTAGCTCTGGTGCAACATATGATACAATTCCATAGACTTTATTTGATGATTTTCCATCAACTGGTCCACATAATCCCAAATCTGTAATATAACAATCACCTTCTTCCATGAGTATATTACCACTATGTAAATCACAATGGATTAAATCTTTTTCATGTATATGATATAATGCATCACATAAATAAACAAAGATTGTAATTCTGTCTTTTAATGTTAGATTTTTTTTCAAATAACCCCTTAAATTTCCACCTGGTACATAATTTAAAACTATTGCATAATTTCCATTATCTGGGAATTTAGTTATACCATAACAATCAACAATCAATTGTGATTTAATTTTGGAATAATTCATTGCCTGGAAACAAATATAAAATCAATTAGTATTATATAATACAGCATTATTTATTTTATTTTAAATGACAACTACCAACCTCATCAAAAAATGCTTTACTTGGATCACTTGAATTATTTAAACTTTTTAATGCTACTCTTTGCCTTTTACAATAATTAAATTCCCCTTTATTTTCATCATAATCAATAATACATCCTCTTGTCCACATGGCTGTAAAAATTGAACTAAATCCACCTTCAGTTAACTTTGTTACTTTTTCAAGGCACAAGTAAATTCGTAAACTAATTAATTGACAAGCGCCGTATTATTGCAATTAACTGACAAGAGTAGCCCAAAAGCTAAGTCGTAATCAAAAGGCCATCTTGCAATATTACCATTTAACAAGAATCAGAAAACTGTAAAAAATTTATTACTTCAAAATATTATTATAATTTAAATAAAAATAAAAATAAAAAAGATAAATAATTATAACGAATAAATTTATAGTAGTCAGTCACTCATTGATTCTTTCTTGAATCTAATGTTTGTTAATTAATTAAATGTGAATAAAAAGCATTGTTTGTAATGATTAATGGATATCAATTTCAATTAATTAATAATGGAATTTTTATTCACCTTTGTTAACATTTAGAGAAGAGAGTTAAAATCAAAATTATTTAACGAACTATCATTACTTGTATAACTTTTTGATTTAGCAATCTCTTCATCTAATATTCTACTTGTATGATATGCATCTGGATGTGATTTGTGTACTTGTTGCAAATCACTATCACCACCACCACCACCACCAGTAGTATTATTATTAATAATATTATTAAGAATTTCATCAGCAAAATCAAAGAGCTCTTCACTAGTTGGTCTTTTTGATGGATCCACATCCCAGCACCTCTGCATCATTTGCACATAATCATTAGGCATTTCAGGTAATATTGGTGGTCGTAAACCTTCTGCATATATATCAAAAATTAAACAATGATTGTGAGCTCTATCATCAAATGGTGGACATCCTGCAAATATTTCCCACATCAACATCCCAACACTATAGATATCTGATTCTTTTGTGTTCTTCATGTTATTGCCTTTAAGTAGCTCTGGTGCAACATATGATACAATTCCATAGACTTTATTTGATGATCTTCCATCAACTGGTCCACATAATCCCAAATCTGTAATATGACAATTACCTCCTTCCACAAGTATATTACCACTATGTAAATCACAATGAATTAAACCTTTTTCATGTATCAAATATAATGCTTCACATAAATATCTAAAGATTGTGATTCTGTCTTTTAATGTTAAATTAGAATGATTTTTTTGTAAAGAACACCTTAAATTTCCTTCTGGATAATAATTTAAAACTATTGCATAATTTCCATTATCTGGGAATTTAGTTATACCATAACAATCAACAATCAATTGTGATTTAATTTTGGAATAATTCATTGCCTGGAAACAAATATAAAATCAATTAGTATTATATAATGCAGCATTATTTATTTTATTTTAAATGACAACTACCAACCTCATCAAAAAATGCTTTACTTGGATCACTTGAATTATTTAAACTTTTTAATGCTACTCTTTGCCTTTCAAAATAATTAAATTCCTTTTTATTTTCATCATAATCATCAATACATCCTCTAGCCCATGTGGCTGTATAAACTGAACTAAATCCACCTTCAGTTAACTTTGTTACTTTTTCAAATTGCTCAAAAGGTATCCATTCTAAAATATGGTTTGGCAAAGATGATTTCATTTGACATTGTTGAATAAAATTATCAACTATGCCATTCCCAGATGTCCAAGTAGTGAAAAGACTCTGTAATTTTAAACTGATGCAACCTTCACAGAACCTATCAGAGTATCTTGTCAATCTACACTTGCTACATTCTTTTGGTTTCCCCTCTTTATAAATTGCATTATTTAATTCAAACTCATAAATAAACCACTCTTTACAATATTCTTTTTCATTTTCAGAAAGCTCGTTGTTTTTTTCAACTAATGAAAAAAAATAATCTTTTCTACTTTCTTTATCAGAATTAACTAATGCATTATTACGCATTTCATTGTCAGTTTTAAATACAATGTCATATCTTTCTGGTGATAATAAATTATTAAATGTCATTATATAAAACTCGACTTGGTGTTTTAATAAATGGAGTGGAGAAAATGGGGGAATGGGTATAACCATTATTTGAACTGAATGGCGTGTAACAAACAATTCTTCTGGTAATACATATAAGGATAAATAAATATTACTTGTGTGCGCCCTTTCACGCTAACATCAACAAAGATTCATCATCAGATTTTTAGCTTTAGTGATTGATTCTAACGGATTCTTTTTTTTTTGTTGTTTAGTAAAATTCCACTATAGAGAGAAATCAAATTGAGAAAGTCTTCAACTTTCTTGTACTTTATAATAGTTCGCGTCGACCGCGTAATAAAAGTAATTTTATCTAAAATTAATATAGTTTAGCGTGGTAATAAAAAGCTACTAGCTATATAGCCAATTATCTCAAAAAGCTGTCTGTATTTTATTAGTAATACTTTTTGTACCAGTTTAAAAAATTAGGTTTGTGGGGGTGTGACCGATTTTCAAATAATTTAATTTTTAATTTTTCCCTTCAGGATAATTTTTTACTTTTTAATAAATTGACATGCATATTTTATTTGACAATTATCAGTAGACCGAATCTATATATTACTATATTAATATTAACCTGATAATTGTCTTTATTAAATTTTATTAAAAAAAAAAGAAAAAAAATGACTAAAAGTTTTTTTAATATAAGAAAATTACCAATTATGACTAACAGTCATAACAATATATTATTGCTCTCCCCTACTTCTTTTATAATTAATTCCACAATTGCAACCAATGTAAATAATAGAAATAAAATTAGCAGTAGTAATTATAGTAGTAATGATAAAAGTTTACACAACATTAATAATTTTATAACATGTGACCATAACTACAAAAATAAAATCAACAATAACGTTATCAATAATTATAATAATTCAAAGATCAATGATTATAACTATAATAACATTAAAAGATATTTTAGTATTTCAAAAATATTTAAAGCGCAATATTTTGACACAAGTACATTTGTGCAAAAACTTGAAGCTGAAGGATTTACTCGGCAACAAAGCGAAGCTATAATGAAATCAATGTCTGAAGTATTGGATGAAAGCATGAATAATCTAATTAAAAATTTGGTAACAAAGGCTGAACAAGAGAAGGTATTCATTCTTCCTTTATTTTTAAAAATTTTTTCCGATTAATTGAATATGTAAACTAATCGGGTTATATATAAAAGACAATTTACAAGTCAAAGGTGGATTTTGCACAGTTGAAATCTGAAATACAAATGTTAGAAAAGAATGATTTTCAAATGTTGAAGACTGACAATGAAAGAATAATTAGCGAGGTAGAAAAATTAAATCAAAAGCTAACAGAAAGTATTAGACACACACAAGCTAATGCGAAATTGGAATTAAATTTGGAAAAGGGTAGAATAAGAGATGGTGCTAGTACATTGGAATTGAAAATCAAAGAAACTGATTCAAAAATTGATGGCGAAATAGGCAAGTTGAAGACTCAAATGGAATCCATAAGATTTCAAATATTACAATATATTCTTGGTACATTGACTGGTGCTGGTGCTTTAATTTTAGGTAATTATATAAATTATATATTTTAATAATTTGTATTTTTAATATTAATATCTAATCTTTTTTTTTCTTTGAATATAGCATATTTACGTATGCTTCGTTGACTTGTAAATTATTATATTTCTATACGAAAAAAGAGAGTAATCGATTATTATTATTTAAAATGGAAAAGTGTTTTTAATTTTAGAAATAAATAAAATATTTATATCATACAAAATAATTTGATATTTAATCATATATTGTTTATCCATATATTTTAACCAATTGATTTTTATATTCCAATCTCCCGTCCCATATTCCCATACCATATTCTACCCAAACCATTCTAATATATCAATTACAATATAATCCACAGAACATAAATAAAGGAATGCAATTATAAAAACGAAGATCCTGCTCATGTTCTTTTCTGGTTGCTTCGCTTTCCTTTTTTTCTTGCATTAATTTGTGGAATGAATTTTTAGCAATCAATCCTGTTGTTAATAAAAATGTTATACATTCATTTTCGCTAAAGTTATTACAGTGCTTTTTAATATAATGGGAATTGATTTTCAAAGTATCAGATTTAACATTAAATATTGCTATTTTCCTTGGATGATTACCGTTACCATTACCGTTACCGTTACTATTACCGTTACCATTATCGTTACTGTTATCATTACTACTATTGCTGTTTTCGCCAATGTCTTCTACTGTACAGTAAATATCTTCTTCTACCCTAACTTCATTATTATTATCAAATTCTTCATCTTCAAGTTCATCGCTGTTTTTTTCTTGGCTTTGATGTTTAACTCTATTTATTTTACTTTTTAAAGAATTAAATTTGATAAAACTTGATCTATTTGCAGCATTCCTCCTGTTGCTAGGATTATAATTATGAGGTGGATTATTAGAATTTGTATTTGTAGTAGTATTGGTATAATTTATATTTAATATCCAATTGAATTTTTTGTTATTCCAAAGTATAACATAACTGACTAAATCTTTATCAAATTTTGATTTAATTTTATCATTACTAATAGAATTCAAATGCCAAGTTGCACATGGATTTATATGATAATCATGAACAAGATTAGTATGATAATTATCATTACAAATATTTAGATTATCAGTTTTTGCGACCCAAATGCTTGTTGCTAATTCACTGTTGTCGCCCTTGTTGTTACTGTCCCTTTTGTTGTTGTTGTCGCCGTCGTTATAAAATATTTTAATAGTCGGTTTAGAAATTTTTGGTGGTTTGATATAAAAAAGATAATTTTCTTCCACTGCTAATTCACCGTTGTCAATGTCTTTTTCGTCTTTATGATTCTTGCAATTAACCTGATCAGGTTTGGAAATTTTTGTTTCTGAATCATAAATACAAATTTTTCCATGTTTTTTAATAAACTTAAATGAAGAAGGAAGTGTGATAGTCTCCCTCTTGTTGTCATTATTTGAAGAACATAATAATAGAGTATTACTCGTGGACACAGAAGGTGAAGTTGAGGTTGGAGAAACGGGTGGCGTTGATTGATTTTGATTATTTGAATTAGAGTTTTCTATATCATTATCTTCCGAATTTAAAACTGAAGTCATGTTAAAAAATATTAATTTATACGAAAAAAAAAATTTTTTTTAAAAATATTTTTAAATATTATACATTTAATATTACATTTATATTTTTCTAAAAAATGTTTCCACTAAAAATTACTCCAATCTAGTTAAATATAGACAATGTATGTCGATCCTTTTAATATATAAGAAAAAAGGAAAAAAGGAAAGAAAGGATTTCCTTCATTAGTATATAAAATTTTTGGCGTACGAAAAGGTTAAAAATACATTTAGATTTTATTTATTTATTTATAGAATAAAATTGTGGCGCATTTATGTTACCAATATTGATTGACAGAGCAGATAGATGTAATTATCAAAATGACAATTATTAATATTAGTAATAATCATAATCACCATTTAGTTATAATAACAGGAGCAAATAGAGGATTTGGTAGAAGCTTAGTTGAGAGTTATTATAAACAGTTTCGTCAAGAATTAAATTCAACAACAACAACTACAATAGTAAACAAATTAACTTTAGTTTTGGTTGGTAGAAATTACGATTCATTAAATTCAGTCAAACAAAATATTTTAAATAAAGAAGATGATGATAAAGGAGGAGAAGGAGGAACAGTTGTTGATATTAGGATTATCGAGAATTTTGATCTTGAAGAAATGGAAAATTTAAATTCTAATTTGGAAAGACTTTGGCAACAAATTGAAGCAAGTAGATTGATTAAAAATACTAATTAATTATCAGTTGGTTGGTTGGTTGATTGATTGATTGATCGATTGATTGATTGATCGATTGTTGTTTGTTTGTTTGATAGGAATGTTCGAAGGAATTATCATTTACAAAGTCGATATTGATAAATAATGCAGGGACATTAGGAGATTTGTCGAGCAAAGTTAAGGATTATAATTTTAAAGAAACACAATCATATATCAATTTAAACATTACATCTTTTACTATAATATGGTAAATACGTTATACACTTGTATGTATATACAAATACAATACACACACATTATATATATATTTATTTCTCTTTTTTATTTTTTTTAAAGTTCAGAATTTTTAAAAAGATTAAAATCCTCCTTGACAAATCAACGTATAATTGTAAATATTTCATCTTTACTTGCAATAAAACCAACACCCAATTGGGGATTATATTGTATGGCTAAAAGTGCCAGAGATACTTATCTAGCTGTAATCTCTCTTGAAGAGGCAAGTAAAACTAATCACTTTGTCAATTACGTTAAATCCATCCATTATTCACATTATTCACATTATTCACATTATTCATAAATTGATAGGAAGGTAATAACACCAAAACTTTAAATTATGCACCTGGGCCATTGAACAATGACATGCAAAAACAAGTTAGAGAAACAATTGGAGATGTAGAACAAAAGACACTTTACACAAACTTTTTTAATAATAATCAGTTGCTTGATATGAATGATTCCTCACAAAAACTTGTAAATTTATTGTTTAAAAATAATTTCAAGTCTGGATCCCATATTGATTATTACGATATTTAATACTGATACTAATTAATAAATAAAATAGTTGATTCTCCAAATTCAGACCTAAATTGATGTTCATTACCAGACAGACATTAATTACCCAAAAACGTATATACATTTTATTAATATGGTCGAATTTTGGAAATAAGGCAAACATTCGTAGTTATCCATCATTTCTATATATGGTAATGATTTGTACCAGTGAAATTTGACATTTATTTAGGTTATTGCAATGAAACCTAGTCTATTATAACCCGCTAAACTTTTTTTCAAAAAAGGTCATTAAAACATCATTTAATAATATATTCTTATAAATGAATTTAGGAAAACCCGTCGATGTTTTAAGGAAAATCATATTTTTTAATAAATTTTAACTTTGTGGACCATCCATCACTTTTAAAAACATTTTTAGGAATTTTTATTCCATTCTTCAATTAAAAGAATTTCTGTTTTTTTTTTGCTGGTTTGAGTTTTGTTCGAATGAGTCCGATTGGATTTGGTCGGAGATTGACTTGGCCGACGTATACTTTTTGACATCATAACAGCGATTATTATTAACAAATCATACTAATACAGTTTACACTGTCTATAACGGATCTTTCTATAACGGATTTTTCCCTATAACGGATTAAAAGCTTTGTCCCGATTTTTTACTATTTGAAATCTCTTTCTATATATAACGGATATTATTAATTAAACTTTTTATTACGTATAACGGATTGTATCTGATATATTACCAAATAATGACATTGTATTATCATCATAGTAATGATAATTTTCGCCATTTTCATCTTCATCCAAAATTACTTCAATATAAGAGAATCTTTCTTGTTCGATTTTTATTAAACAATTGATATCACCATTATCGTTTAAAGTCTCGTTTGATGAATTTTTGGTGAATATTTTTTTCAAAGGCTTACGAATTATGTTTGGGAATGAGTTTTTCATAATTAACGTAGATAATGTGGATATATGTATATAACAATAATGTCGAGGTAATTAGTAATTATTAATTAATTAAAAAAACTTAATTATTTACACCTTCCAGAGGTTTAAAAAATATAGAAATTATATACAAATTAAAAGAATATTAAAAATTAAAACCAAAATGATTTTATTTTTCAAGGAAAGGAAATATACAAGTGGTTTTTATTTATATTTCGAAAACGCATGCCTATCTTTGGATTTGAAATTGAAAATACAGATTAAACTTTAATTAGTTACATACAAATTAGTCAAATAGTCGATTTGCAATGGCTTCGGTTTAAAGTTGGCTTACTATTGTTGAACATTATTTAAATAAATAATACTAAAAATTTTAACGGGGAGTATTTTTGTTCCAATGTTCAATATGACGACAATTGATATTTGTATGTGCATGTGTTTACTAACATATATGTATAACAATAATGGAGATGAAACAAAGGAGAAAACATCAAACTAAACGACAAATAAACAACACAACAATAATAAAAAAATAAAAGTTGAAACATTAAATCTGTGTGTAACAAATAAAATTAATGCCGGTCCTGTGGAATCGTGAAATCTCTAGGGTCGAGAAATTAAGAAAGAGAATGGTTATCGTGATGGATGATACGCGCGCTGTATGCTATTAATACACAATATGGTATTGTATTGTTAATTTCCCCAAAACGTTACATAATGATTACACAAAAAACTTTATATCAAAAACTTTAAAATGGAACTTTTTGATAATTGATAATCTAAAATCTTTGATAAATTTTTTTATAATCAATTATTCAAACTATACAGAGCTAAGTCGAGATAAATAATGTTGTAAAGTGTCTAGATATTAAATAAGATCGTCAAAAAGTAATAACCGAGGAATTAGAAACAAAGAAGTGATTTGCAAATTTCGATATACACAACAATCAAAATGATCTTAAATCATATTTTTTTTTTGCGTTTCAGCATCTAAACTTTTTATTAATGGAAAGCAAAGAAAACATCACCAAGGTAAAAAAGAATAGCAATTATTTAATTATTTACTTGACACAAATAATGACAATAATAATGAAGTAAAAAGGGTAAAGAAAAATCCCGAAATTAATGAAGCAGGGGCAGTAATACCAACAATAACAAAATTAACCGATTGTATTGGTGCTTAAAAGGCAGAGGTTGGAATCGACTAAACTTTTTTTTGAACAGCTAATAGTCGACTAATTAGTCGACTACTAATACTACTAATACTAATACTAATACTAATACTAATACTAATACTATGCTAATATTATTATTGTCTGACCAATTACGATTTTCGTGTTTTTATCATTCAAAATGGAAAATTTCTATGCGGAAGGATATCAACACCATCAATATGATGATGACGACAATAGTAGTGGCGTTGTTGATGATAATTTTACATGCGAATGAATAAACACTTCCAATACAAGGTCTAATAGTTCATTGGTTTCAAGTTCCAATGATTTAAGCGGTGGTTCCAGAAGACCTTTAAAAAAACGAATCATAACACATGGTTTTGTGTGGAAGCATTTTGAAAAAGTGAAAGGTTCAAATGGAAATGAATTCATAATTTGCAAATTTTAAAAAAAAAAAAAAAAAGAAATATTATTATTATAAAAAAAAAATTTAGTGACTAAAGAAATTTTTAACCAACTAGTAGTCGACTAAGGATTTTTTGGACGATTCCAGCCTCTATTAAAAAGAGTATAAAAATGTAAATTAGGATCATTTTGTTTTAAAAATAATCAAAATAATGGAGCCTTTTCGTAAAAGTAGACGGGAAAATTAATCCAATACAGTCCACACTGTCTATAACAGGATCAGGAAATTTGTTATTATTATAGAGAATCTGGTACAGAAAATTGTACTACATTAAGTCATGCAGAATAAAAAAATTTTTATTATATTATTATTCAATATTATTAATTAATATTTTAAAAAACAGTAATATAGATTGTTTTGTTGAATTGAATTCTATTTTTTTTAATTTTCTTTTTGATATTTTTTAACTGTTTCAATTCCTCATTTGTAAATTCCTTAAACTGTTGTTCAAACAAACAAGTTTACTTTTTCAATAGCCAATAAAGCATCTTGACTTAAATAGGGGATGTCTCTTCGATGTCTTCTTCATCCTGATTTTCTTCATTAAAATCCGACATAGAAATTATTTCTTTTTCGTTCAGCAAATCATCATCATCGACATTTCATCAATACTTTTAGTTCATTACATCATACTTTATGTCATTTATTTCAAATAATTGTTTTAATTTTGGATTTTTATAGACAACGTTTTTTATTTTTATTAGTATTTAATATTAATTATAATTTGGATTTGGAGAGATCTGCATTTTATTTCAGATCACGTGAATACGTTATAGGCAGTGTTGATTTATATGTAAGTCATATGAAGTGATTTTCAGGTACAATCTGTTATACGTAATAAAAGGCTTAATTAATAATATCCGTTATAGAAAGAGATTTCAAATAGTAAAAAATCGAGACCAACTTTTAATCCGTTATAGAGAAAAAATCCGTTATAGAAAGATCCGTTATAGACAGTGTAGACTGTATGTGAATTCGCAATTCACATAATTCCATTTTCACGTACAACATTTATATTGACCCGAATTATAGTTTCGAGGTCATCTTTTCTTGTTTTGAATCATGGTGTTGACAGTGACATTCAATAGAATTTTCCCGGCCCTAATGAAATCGTAACTTTCTAGAGAAAGATATGGTTTGTTTTTTTTGGTTTTACGTTTTCGTTTTTGGAGGAATTAAAGGATCTACACTGCCAATAAAAAGTTCAGCAACAAACTGACCTGCACTAAAAAACATGATTTGATAACAACAAAAACAGACAAAGTGAACATAAAGATTTCAGCAAAATAATGTGACCTTGCATTCCTTGCTTCATAACTTTCGTAGCTTTCTAATTATTCAATCAATAACCTCCATAAAATCATACTTAACCTACTTTTCTTTCCTTTCTTTCACTTTCACATTCACTTAATTGCTATTTTGTTTTTTTCCTCAGTTAACTCTTAATAATTTTCTTCTGTTTAATTAATTGAGGCTTTTGCTTTAACTTTATCCTGAAGCTCCCAAATAAATTTTTGCTGTTCACTATTATTTTCTTATCTTCATTTAAATACTTTAGTTGCTTGCTTTAATTGAGCAATATCGCTCTCTAGTTGCCTAATTATTTGCTTGGTTGTCTCTTTTTCATTACCATAATCATTCTCTAAATCTTTTATTTTTTATCTTTATCCTTGTTTGTTATTGTTGTCTGCAATTAGCTTATATCACCAATTACGTACTTTACGTTAAATTTTAATTGAAAGGAGGTAATTTTTCAAAACCGTATAATAATAAGAAATACGTTAATTCCGTATAATATTTTTAAGACGTATTTAACATACGTTAATTCTGTATATTATTTTTCATGGGGCCTTGATTTGTTGTCAATTCACTTATTTATTCATTTTCCTAATTGGCTGATTTCATTTTGAGTTTCCTGTTTGTTTTTCTTTTCATTCAGAATTATTTCAGCTAATTCAATGATTCTTTTCAAGCTATTATCTCATTTTTCAAGTCATCATCTATTTCTCTTAAGGCTCCGAAAGAAACGAAACGAATTTTAGAGTGATTCGATTCGAACTAACCAGATTTCTAAATTTATATTACACAAGTGAATCTCAATTTAGTGTGCCTCGATTTAATGGATCGAGGATAAACTAAAACTACAATAATAGTAATATTCTTCTCAATATAACAAATTTCTTGATATTAATATTAATATAATAATAGAAAAAAATTTTTAATTGATAAAGGGTATTATTATAATTAGTGATGGTTGCTGAAACTATTTTTTTTAAAAAAGATAGTTTAGCCCAATACTATGGTAGCCCAATATTTTTTATAATGACAAACATATAAGTATATAAATCAATCTACTTTATTTTAAAAACAAAAATAATTTCAGCTATTATTAAAATTAGCTTCGCCCAAGTTTAGGCAAATTAAGCTCGGCAATTTCGGCCCATAAATAAGGTAGTTTCAGCCATCATCACTAAATAATATTATTATCTAAGCTCTCTATACCAAACGAACAAAAGCAGAAAATTTACATATAAGGGACAGTGGTTCGGTATAGAGAGCTTAGACTGTATTGTTAATTGATAACAATAGTTGTACAATTCATTAATAAATGGTAACGATGCTATAGATTCGAATCAAAGCATAATTTGGATTCGATTCGAATGAAACAAACCAAAAATTAAGTGATTATATTCAATTCAATTCAGATTGCATTGATTCATTCGAAGCCTTAATTTCTCTATGTAAACTTCTGTTTTCATTAGTTAAATTTTGATAACCATTTTGATCTTGATTTTTTTTTTTCGTTGTTTGGCTGTTGATTATCTTTATTTTGGTTATCATTTATTTCTTGCCTTGCTCAACTATCTACCTCCCCTTTCAATAGCTTGTTTCAGCCAGCTCTTCATTTTCTTCACTTAATGCATCCTAATTCTAAAATTTGATTAATAATCATTTCTTCTTTGGAAACTCTCACTACCTGATTGTCTTTTATATACAGCATATTAGTCACCCATTACTTGAGCATGATCTTGTTTAATGTGCTAATTTTCGATATCCTGGTGAGCTAAATTTATATGCTTTTTTGCTTTATCTAGCTCCCATTGCTTCTCTGCTACTTTTCTTTGAAATAACTTGCTCTCTCTTTGCATTTGATCTATAAATTTTCCTCTTCCTCTTTGTAAAATTCAATATTAATTTTATGGATTTATTAAGGTATGTATAACTTTAATCAGTACAAATTATAAACGATACAATATATCATTTTTAATTTTGTTCCATCTAAAACACTAAACTGGAGAAAAATTTCTTTTCAATTTAATTGCAATAATTTATCCAGGTTGGAGAAACCTTTAGCGACTTGAGCTTTTTGATTTCTCTATTTAACCTGTTTATATTTGAGTCAACAACATTTTTTTGTTTTAAATAGTGTATAGGTTTATCCCCAAATGAAATTACAAAAATGAAACTCATCTACATCAAGTCCACTACGGAACCAAAGAATTATATAACACAATCAGAAGTATTTTGAAGAATGAACAAAGATGAAAAAAATTGCTTCTTATCTTTTCAAGATAATGTTACTAAAAATATTTAGGCAAAGGAAAAATTTACTTGTGAATTTATCAAAAAGAAAGGAAAATCATAACCAATTAACATAAAACCATGAAAAGAACCAAAAAATGGAAGAAAAATAATTTCCAGCGAACTTGGGTTGATTGTTAACATCTTGTGCTAGTTCTAAACAAGCGGTATCCTTAAATTCCAGAGAGGGAGTTTAACACTAAATAAATAAAGCTTTAATTTCTTTTATAACTTCAGAAATATCTGTTCTCCTAGTTTTCAGTCAATTGAATTCAGCAAGTGGCCCATTATAAACCTCCAGGGTTTGACAACACCACGATTAAATGCCTCAAAAAAGAAAATGTTGGTATTTTTACAGGCCGTTTGATTTTTTAAAATAAATTCCAAAGTAGACTTGATACCCAAGTATTGAAAGCCTGCTAGACTAGATGATCCACACAATTTATACTTGCTTTTCTGTAGAATCAAGACAAAACTACCATTACCATCGTCACATTTTAATTTTGTGTGCTCAGGAATCACGAAATTTAATTCAATATTTTCAATTATCAAATAAAGTAAAACCTAGGATTCGGATCCGGTTTATTTTTGTTGAACTAGGTTTAGATTGTAATCTTATTCATGAAAATATGAGTAATGAAATGAACTACTCTAATACGTGACTCAACCCTTGAATTCGGATGCAAATTTTTGGTTTGAAGATAACAGGTCTATTTGTATGTTTTTGTAGTGATTTATTAGACTATTCAATTAATGTGCTACTTCATTGCGCAAAAATGATGCTAGGATGCTTCGCATCCAAACTATTCCAAATTATTTTCTTTATGCATAATATTCTCATTCTTATTATTTCACCATTTTTAATTTCTAAAAGTTAAAGGAATGATTCATATATGGATTAGTTTTTATATACAGTGTGTTCCAAAAAAATCAATCATTATGGAACAGCCACAGTACCAATTCGTATGGATTAAATAGATTAAAAGCAGGACTTTTTTTTTTGAATGCATTTTAATATTAAATGCCTTCATTATTGGTTTCGATTACAGACTAACATCTTGATTTTTGGATTAAATAAAACGAATCAGAGATAAATTGGGGGTTGGATCCCACTTTTCTACGGTGAATTGTCCCAGGACCTTGAAATTTTTGACTTGTATTCCGTTATTTGGTAATTTGTTACTAAAACTTTTAAAAGAAATAAAAGAAAAACTAATAAATAAATCGTGCGTGACATGTGATTATTATTTCATTGGTAAATTCTGTCAATTCCTTCTAACAATTATTAATAGTGAAACAGATATTTGAGTATTGAATGCTTGTAATTCGATGTAATTTGTTGAGTGAACGTATTCCCTTTTTCCTAATAATGTAATTGCTAAAAAAAAATCTGCAAAATTCAATCCTATTACACATTTACCCAAAAATTAATTACCAGATTCAGTTAAAAAATAATAAGGCTTTTTCAAATTTTTTTGAAACAATCTTGTGACACAATTTTGTGACACAATATCTGTGATGCAGAAAGTTGTACCAAGTGTCCAGTGTTGAAAATTCAGTGCGGGGAATGCGGGTGTAACATTACACCAATCAAATTTTTAGATAGTTTCTAAATTTGTACTAGTTATACAACGAAATTTCAACACTGCAAGTGTCATCAGACATTGTGGAATTAAGTTTTTACACAATTATCAGAAACCGGATTCAAACCGGATTCAAACCTCTTTTTTTAATATTAATGTTAATATTAATATTTCAAACCGGTTTGGGCCGAACTCTAGTACTAGTTATTTATTAATTCACCACCATTGTACGATTGTTTATTTTTTCATACTATTTTCTAGATATTCTGGATCTTGCGAGATAGTTCATGATAATAAATAATCAAATAAAGAAAAACTATTATTATTATTATAGTGTAATTTATGGATATGCAGGTTTTTATTTTTTTTTACTTCAAAATACTAACTGCCACCCTGGCAAATAAAGTAATTTTATGGATCGTGGGAATTTGTGAATATCACTGAGAAAAATTAGATTGGGCAATAAACGAGTTTTACTTTTTTAATGTTTTATAATAAATATCTTGCACTTGATTGTCATACAATGTTTAATAATTTTATTTTCTTTGCATTTTTATTCAGATCTTCTTAATGATGGATGATTCAAGACAAACAATGATGATGTTTTCAGCCACTCTTCAACAAATGTTTTGAAACCTTTGCTCGTGATCTCTTGAAGATCACGGTTGATTGTGTTGGTGGGACAGCGAACAATAGCTCAAAGATAGCCATTATTGATCAAATATTTATTTATTTTTATTATTATATATATTTATCTTTTCAAAAAATAGCTAATTGCTATCATTATAATAGATACTTTATGTCGAAAAAAAAGATAATCACACAGCACTTGTTTCACAGACTTTCCATACATTCTATCTTAACGTTAAATATTTTGGGATCCGACCTCAATCCTCATGGGTTTGGAAATTTAACGCGCGGTATTATACGATGTGGTATTATTATACAGTGAATTTATATTATTCTCAGCCCTAGCCATGGAAAATTCGAGGACTCTGAATTTTATCAAATTGTATTCAAGCTCAACTCTCTTAAAGAGTAAGTTGGAAATCTCTTGCATAACACGGGCTTTTGTTCTGAATAAGGTTGAAAGGGGAGAAACCGGATACGCGCAAAAGGAGTAATCATTAAATCTACTGCCAAGTTCAATAAATTCCATTTTTGGATATGATCTTTGAGGTACTCTGTTATGATTTAAAATTAGGAAGGTTTTAGGTGAGTAGTACAATAAATATTTAATATACACAGAGTTCCAATTAGGCACATTTGCCAAATTTCCCTTGCCAGGTTATTATTATATCAGAGATTCGAATATTAATATTTAATTAATTAAAATTGGTGTCAAATAATTTTATATGTTCGAATATTCATGTTGATAAAATTTCTTCGATAAAAATGTTTAATAAATGATGGCATAATTTTAATTAATGATAAACTCTAATTTTTCGTCAGAATTAATTATCGATGACAGATTGTGTAGGCCACCAAATAAAAAAAACCAAAGATTTTGACGGAACATGGAAAACCTAGAGAAAGCTATACATAAAATGGTTATTTGGTGATGTTGAACGCCAAAACAAAACCTGATAAAGTAGAAAAGTTGTGTTTTTAAAAAGAGACATAAATATTATATTTTGAATGTATTTGGTTTTTAGATATTTTTTTAAATTCATAAAAAGTATATATTACGACATCTAAAAGAAAAAGTGTTGTCAACATTACGAATATTACGAATATCCTAATTCGGAAGTCATTACTATTATTACGTGTTACAGATATTCGAAAGTTTTACGAATATTACTATTAATATATTAATATTACGAATATTCTAATTCGAAAGTATTATTATCGAAGATATACAAACATTTGAATATTAATATTAATATCATTTCCATAAAATTACGAATATTCGAATAAGATTAGTTCTTTAAATTTTCATCTCTACATAGTCTTACTAGGATCCCCAAAACTATATAGAAGTGTCAAGTCAGCTGCATTAGTGACCTATTTATATATTACTTGAGCAATTTATTTATTTTATTATTACAAATAAAATATCAACATCAAATATATTACATAATAATTGAGAATGTACAGTCATATCCCTCTTACCCAAATCCCATCTTTAAATTTACCTGTTTATGCAACATATAAGACACAAAAAAGCCATGTTAAATTAAGAGCCTGTGGTGGTAAAATATTGAATTAATGGCTATAGGACGCTCTATAATGGATCATGAATAGAAGATACCAGTAAAGAGGAAGAATCTTGCACCAATATGAGAAAAAAGCAATTGAAACTGCAAAGAAATTTTAGAATAAAATGATTTTACTACTTGTAATAAAATGTTTAGATGGAAAAAAAAAATATCATTCTTCGATGACTGAATTTTATAATAATAAATAAATATATCAATATAAAAAGTTATATCCCACTTTAGTTGTATATAACAAACTTCTCAAAAAAGGGGGCATGACTGTATGGGGACAAAGGAATCCACACATACAAAGAGATGCTTTAAATGGTCAACCATTGTTGTATCTCTAATACCATAAGAACCTGTTTGAAATCAGGTTAAATACTGTTTGCACTTATATTTAATACTATCTAAGGATTTATTATATTCCAGCGAGCATTACTAATTTATTTTTAAGATTTTAAGGGCTTTCTCAGTGGATGGATGTTTTTTTTAGTTACACCTTCTTTACTTTTATAAAAAGAAATATATAATTTAAATTATAAGGTTTTAGTTTAGCTGAATTATTGTGTCCCATTTCATGGAACAGTGAACTTTTTTAAGGACAGTTGTGAACTAGATACAGAATGGCTTACTTCTTCTTGAAAAGGAAATTGATTGTTAAAGGAAATTGATTGTTAAAGGAAATTGATTGTTTTTTGGAAAAAATTTTTTTTTAATTTCAAGTATTTATTTATCTTATGAATTGACCAAAAAGGACAGACAATGATTTCTCTTTGGTAAAGATTTACTACATTTCCCAAGTAAATAATGATGTGATATTTACATCTTTTTAGATCATGCATGACCATTGTATCTTCATAAAGTGTTGATTATTACTATATTAATATTTATATATAAACAGGGTTGGTTAATTGATTTTCTGGGAAAGAAAATTTTCATTATGTCTATTTTTGGTCGTGAATTGGTCAAACTTTTAAGATGTTTTAAAAACAATTATTGTAAAAACAACAATAACAAATATTACAACTACCACCAGTCAGTTAAACTGTCATCGTCTTCTTTTTCACAAGAACAACAACAACAATCATCACCACAAAATTCACATTTTGAAATTGAACGCAAATTTACATTTGATCTTGAGAGAATACCAATATTAGAAAGTAACAAGGGACCAATTAAATTCCAATCGATCAAATTTCTCTATTCGAAATCTTTTACGGACGTTTATTACGACGATGATGATAAAAATTATCCATTATCCACACAAGATATTTGGTTGAGAGAACGAGATGGAAAATGGGAATGCAAGACACCGATGAATCTTACACCGTCAATGGATTCGTATCACGAACTTGTAACACATCAAGAAATTGATAAATATCTCAACAAGAAACTTACTCCATCTTCATCTAGCAATGATGATGATTTTTCGTCGAGAATATCATTTAAAAATCGAATAATTAATCGATACGGATTGAATGAGTTTTGTAGAATAACAACAACTCGAAAACATTATTTTGTTGATGAAGAGTTCACACTTGATTTGGATACAACAGACTTTGGACATCATATTGGTGAATTGGAATTGGTGGTTGGGAATGAGGAAGATGTTCCAAAAGCCGAATTCAAAATTGCTCAATTTTTAAAGAAGCATGATTGGTTTTTTGATACCACTAGTGAAGTTGTTATGGGAAAATTGACCGCATATATAATGAAATTTAATCGAAAGCAATGGGAGTGTATGGAAAAGTCTGGAATTTTAAAAAAGAAATTGTTTCCAGAGAGTATGGATGATGTTGTTAATAAAGGAACTAACTAATAATAAAATTTTGGTTGGTCGAAATTCGTGTTTGATATAATTTTCTATAACAGGCTTGATAGAACAAATGTTTGTGACTTTTGAGTTGTGTACTATAATGTGTGTAATGTTTCATAATAAGTAACCCAAATTTTTAAATTTTTTTGCCAAGCAAATTTGTTCAGTTTTTAATAATAATAATAATTATAGCAAGATTAATGAAATTTTTATTATGGAAATCATAATAATAACTAATAAAGAAATGCGGGGACAGGCAGAAAAAAGAAAACTATTAATAATCAATTGGCAGATATTTTGTGCAGCAATTGTTGTTTGTATTGAAATTTGGGAAAGAAAGAAAAGAAAAGAGGAGAAAGAAAATGTTAGGGAGAAGGAGAGGAAAAGGATAATGGGATGTGAGAATGTGAAAATGTATATGAAAGAAATTTGCATAAACAAAATAATAATTTAATCACTTCCTTTACCTATCATTTTAAAGATATGCATATGGGCGTATTTGTGGATATGTGCTACCATAATTTGTCCAATGAAAATTGAGATTGGTCATTCCACTAAAAATTTAAGCTTTACCTTTTCTTTTTTTTATGTATGGAAATTACGATTATCACGTAATTTAGTGCAGAAAATTTTTTCTTGTGACTTCTATTTGATCGTGTATTACATCATTAAACATATTTATATCATAAGAAAGGATTTTAAAATAACTTGTGATAGAGGTAATTTGGTGGGGGGAGGGAGAGAATTAGATTTATAAATAGAACAATATAATTTTTTGTTAAATCTATTTTTAGAATTCGATAATTTTAGATTATTATTAATTTGCAAAAATAAAAAAAACGGATAAAAATTTAAAAATCTTCTTTGTCTACCAGATAAATTTAACAATTCATTGTACAATAATTACAAGTCGCCCAGATAATTAGCAAGAACAACACTCAAGAATCACAGATTTTCGGCTTTCAACAATTAAGAAAAAAAGTATTATTCATATATGGAAAAGAGAAAGAGAAGCAATAATTGGGTGTAACATCTATTATATTAATAGATATTATTATCATCATAGATAGAATTTATGAATAAATTCATTAATGATGGCATGTATGGTTTTATCAGAGAAGGGTGATGCGGAGACGCATCTATTAAATTCGTTTATTTGTTAGTTTGATTAGTAAGTATTAGAGCCTTTAATGCAAAATTCGGGTAATTAAAGTTTTCGGTCAACTAGCCATGTTTAATATTTGATAAATAACACACTATGGAAATAAATTATTAAAAATGTAATGTAACAATAATTAATTTTATTTTATTTATTTATATTTATTATTTTTTTTATTTACAAATAATTATTTTGGCTGTTTATGCAAAAAATATAATCGAAATAATTATTATTCTCAACTTGGCATAAATTATAATTTTTTATTTTAAGTATCAATTTTTTAACTTATAAATAAAACAAAATTCTCATATAAAAATATCTTCTTTTTTCCTACCATCATAAATTTTTAAAATTCATTTTTTTTTTAAAAAAAAAGAAGCTATAATTATCATATTATATACTAGAGCAATATAATTTAAGGTAAAGAAATTACATGCAATTTTCAAAAATTAATTAAACACAAGTTTTTTTTTCACTCGCCCTCTCGCCCTCTCACCTTTCATCTTTTTCCCTCTCTTCCAAAATAAAAATTAATAATTAAAAATAAATGCATGCAAATAATTTAACCCAATAATCATCTTTATTATCTCCCTAATCGTTTTTGAATTCATAAATAATAATAACGTCTGTGTAATATATTCATCATACAACATTGCATTTTTATTTTTATTAATATTTATACACAAAAAAAACCATAATTAAATTGATTTAATTGATTGATTAATTTTATTAAATTATTCTTTATCTTTTCTCCTTATCCATAACTATATAAATACTCTTGCTAGATTCATTTGGTTTTTTTTTAATTTTTTAATTTTTAAAAATAAAATTAGAAAACAATCAATAATATCCTCTTCTCTCCCTAATTACAATTCATCTAATTAATATTTTTTCCTTTACCTAATAACAAATATAGAATATAATAATAATAATAATAATAATAATAATAATAATATAACACAATGGCACGCATTCATCTTACCTTATTGTCAGTTCTTCTCTACTGTGTTACTTATATCTATGCCGGTAAGCATTCTTTTACTTTTATTATTTGTAATTATTAATAAAAGGATATGTTTCTAATAATAATTTAATTATCTCCTTCCCCCATTAAACAGCCGCTACAGTAAATAGTATAGCCGGTCCAGTTGCTCAAGGTGCAACAGTCTACATCACATATCAATTTAGTACACCCCCAGCAGGAAAGGTCACTTTACAAGTTATAAATTTCACTTCAAAAGATACAAAATTCCTCAGTGAAGATTTACCAATAAACCCTGCCAGTTTCAAATGGGTGGTTGATGTACCTGTAGGAACTTATTACCTTGCTATTAATGATGGTAGCGGTCAAGCTTTCTCTGGTAACTTTGATGTCAGCGCTGGAACATTACCACCATCAACATCACCAACATCAACACCTGCTGCAACACCAGCACCAGCACCAGCACCTGCACCTGCACCACCAGCACCATCACCACCAGCAGCTTCAGCAACAACCCCAGCAGCAGCAACAACAAGCGCAGCAGCACCAGCAGCAGCAACAACAAGCGCAGCCGCTACAGATGCACCTGCAAAACCATCTGCTGCAAATTCTGCACCAAGTTTCTCTGGTTACTCACTTTTGATCAGTCTCGCCGTAGTAGCCGCCGTAATGTTCCATATGGCTTAAAGACATAGATAATTAATATGATTTTTTAGAAAGAGTCAATTATTTTATTTTTTTTATTATATATAAGATTTTTTTTAAAAAAATAATATTTATATAATTAATTTAATAATAACAAATAATATTCCAATTTAATAATAATAATAATGATAAATAATATACAGATAATAGTTAGTATATTATTTTATATAACAAGGGTAACAAGTACCAAAATTTTTTTAAAATAAAAATAAAAAATCGTTGCGAATTTCCTTTAAAAAAACAATCGGTTAAAAAATTTCCGTGACCAATAAAATTGTTATTATTATTATTTTATAAAAATATTTACGCGTACACTCCTAGATATGCTTTGCAATTTTTGACCTGACTGGGGATTATTATTAAAAGAATTTGCTCACAGTAGGAGTTATAGTTAGTTTTATTGCAAAAATGAAAAGTTCACTGATATTTGTGACGTTAGCCGGCTAAGGTTTTTCTACCAGCTAACACCACTAATTTGGACTACTATCTCAACACTTTTGCATCTCTTCTACATATTCTTTTGACATCTCTGGTAAACATATTGGTGGTCTTTAATCCCTCACAAATATTAAACAAATGGTGGACATCCAGCAAATATTCCTACATCAATGTTCCAACTCTATAAATATCTGAATCTTTTGAAAAAGTTCAGGTGCAATGGCATGATCCCATAAATTTTATTTTGATGTTTTATCCACGCAACCCTAATACTAATTCTATAATACAACGATCGCCCTGATCTACTACTAGTATATCGCTAACTTGGCTTGTACTAATTACATATTGGTTTGCTAAATCAATATTTCTTAGTTCAGGTCTGCTTTTTTAATAAAGAATTTTCTGGATTTTGATCAATTTGGATAAATCTGTTTGTTTCAATTTTAGTAATTAATTTAATTTGTATGCCACGTTAATGAACTTTAATCTTAATTTATACATTCAATTAAATTTGGGGTTTAAAATCCCCTGCTTATTCAAATTTCATGCCACGTGAATCCGTCATTGTATGAATTTACTAATAAAATCCGTTAAAACATTAATATTAATGAATAAAAAAAGGGAAACTATATCTAAATTTGTAACAGAAATCCGGGTTGATTGTATTTAGAAATTTAGTTATACTTTTAAATATTAATTTAATAGGAAATTATTTATTTTTGTTCTAAATGGAATGCTTGCTTGCTTGCTTCATCAAAAAAAAAACCCCCCCATTCATTTAAAACATTTCAATACAACGTACTAAAAACCTAAATTAAAAATTCTCCCCCACCTCCATCATAATCATTTATACATTCTCTTCTTTATAAATAGTATTTAACCCTCCCGTTAGTTAAATATTCAACATTTGTAGATTGATCAAATAAATAATAATTTTTATTTCCAGTGTTGAAAGATGCAGTTTTTACAAGATTTAGTTGAATATCTTGTGGCTTGACTTTGTATAAATCAGGGCAGGCCGTGTAAAGGTGTTAAAATCATGATTTGGTAATAATTGTCTTGACAAACATAATGATTAAATATTCAGTTCAGCCAAATGCTCATTTAGGTTACGCGATCAGTCATAGTTGAACTGGTTGGTGAAAATGTGGTAGTGACACCAGTAAAATCTTCAAGCATTTGCATATTTTTTTTTTAAAAAAAAAATAGACCAAAAAGGAAACCATCTTGCCATTTTTAAATAAGATATTGGGATAGAGGTTATATTAATATGATACCTTACATACCAGTTCAATTATCCGAGTCCTAATATATCTTTCTCATTAAAAGTTTATATGTTATCCTAACCCACTAATAAAAAATTGCAACAAGACTATCTTTTTTGATAAATTATTATTTATTATTATTTTTAGATAATTTCTTTCTAACTTATTTTATTATAGCAGATAAGTAAAATTTAATGAAACAGTTACAATTGATTGAGTCTATTTTTGTTTTATATGACATAACTATGTCGTAACTATGTCGTAACCCTCGGAAAGCCAATCCGAATTAGGTAAATCAAAAAATAAATGGATAGGTAACATAACTTGTGATCATATACAACACTTTCCATAAGCATATTCCGTATTAATGTCGTGGCTCTCAAAGTATTCATGTGTTTGCATCCTTATTTAGATCAAAGATACATGTCAACAATAAGAAAAAATTTCAAGTTATTTGTAATGAACTTATTTTAGGAAAATCAAAGATCAATATACATTTTCGAAAATGACTTATTTTTTTTTTCCCAACAATAATAAGGAAATAAAAAATCAAATTCGTTCGTAAGTGAAATTGGAGTCAAGTGACTTGGAACAAATAAAGAGACAATTTATTATTCATTAAACAAAGAGAATTGCATTTTATTAGTAGCAAACATCTAAGGTGCTTAGAATCCTTTAATTTCTTTGCTGGAATATTTTAATCCCTGCAAAACAATTTATCCTTGAAATAGATTATTAAACCTATTGAAAACAAAATTGCAAAATTCTTAAGAAATTGAACATCATAAATAAAATAAGGCGTGTGATATTTAAATTTCTAATGCAACATTGTAGTAGCTAATGACAGTGAGTTAATGACCTTTCGTTATATTTGTGGTAATTATCCAATCAAAGAATAGTATCGAGAAAATTTGGAAAACATAATTATTATGTAGCAAATTTAAAAATGTTTATAGCGAACCTTTTGCTCTGTTAGCAATAGAGATATTTTATTAAGATGACCGTTTAGAAAAATTAATCATAAGAAATTTGAATTTGGGAAAAAATGGAAAGTTTCTATTTTACCCAGTGCTCACTAATAGAAAGAAAGGCGCGATATTTCATGATATGTGAAGTTCAACATGCTAAGTATTCAGATTATTAAAAGGATGTTATCAAAATTACAACTATTTCAACAACACTAATATGGCCTTTTCTTCTCTGAATTCTTTCCAAATTGCGCGACACATGTCCAATTCACTTGGACGCATTCAGATTAATTACAAATAATAGACATGATTTTGTAATAAATTCTTTTGATAAATTTCAAGTGCTTCATTATTGTCTTTAATATATGGATGATTTTATGTTGAAAGAGCAGATATTACTATCAAGATATTCTACAAATAATACATCGTCATCACATCAACTTTCGCCACCACATCACCACCTATTACTCTCTACTCCAATTTATGTCAGATTCGGATTTCACCGAATTGACGTGGTGAATAAATAATAAAGGATATAATTGCAACAACAACAATTATTATTATCACACAATTTGATCGGGTTTGACTGAGACTGGATAATTAAGTGAGAAATTTTATGACCATTTGGTTATTGTTGTTATTGTTGCAACATAAAATTTCAATCATCAATAAACAAAAAGCTAATTGAAGCATTTGAACAACTAATTAAAAAATCTTTCAAGGATCGACGAAACACGTTTACAAATGAGAAGAACCATCCCATAATAAATATAAGAGTCTGAAGTTTTGATGGTTATTAAAAGAAGGTTAGACATATTTTTTTGAATAACTATCTATTTACCTGATATAAGATTTAAGGTTTAGTTTAATTAATCAACACCTAATTCAATATGAATTAATTAAAAAATATTAATATATTAATTATTATAAATATATAATCAAGTTTTCGTCTTTTTACATGGTTGTTAAATGTCTCATTAATTTATTTTATTATCTATTCCTGAACATAGTCCAATTTCATCAGATGGCAATAACATCAATCTTTTCAATGACTATCTATCACCATCATCACCAACACCATACTATTATAAAAAATCAAATACATTTACAATTTTTTATATGTGATGATGAAGCAAATGCTATCACATCTATTTATTGACTGATTTTATTTATATCATGCAATGAATTAGTTAATCATTGACATTAATTAAACACTGTAATAAAGTGTCATATCTGATGTGTTTATGCTCAAATACTTTATAGATTTCAAGATATCTTATTGCCTCTTTACTATTATTTTTTTTTTTGGAAAAAGGAGAAAATAAAATAAAGATATATTTTATTTCAATTAAGTTCAGCCATTCATATTTAATATTATGGATGGTAGAACCATTAATCACACAAATCTGCAAAGTTCAAGAATAGGATTATATCTTATGATATGAAAAAATTTAAGAAGAGGATAAAAATTAGATTAATATTAAGCCAAAAAATTTTGTGTTGGTTGTCAGGTCATTTCAATTGCCCATAAACCAAATTAAAAATGAAGTAATGATACTTACTTTAACTGTATATCAACCAAAACTAAAAGTGCACCTGATAAATATTTATACATAAATATATTCAGTATGAAGTTGATGATATCTAAGAGTAAAAATAGCAGTAATATTTAATATTTGTCATTATAATTGTTGTTATTGATATATTCTTAGTGTTATTATTAGGATGATTTCAGTCAATTAATTATTAATTGATGTCATATCACTAGAACATAATCTGGTATATATTTACCATACTCCAAGGCAACATTCTGAAAATGTCTTCATATTAATAATTATTTTTTCTAAAAATTGTAAAATCACCACCAATCAGGATATTTATATGACATCCATTAACAATTACCTTACTAATTGATAAATCTGCTACTGCCAACAGGAGTAATTTGTTCATCAGTTACAAATTACCTTTATCTAATGCTCCTCCAGCACATTTATCAATATGATCAAAATGTGCCAAACCAAGCATGGCTCCTCCATATTTTCACCATCAATAAATAAATTCTAAATAAAAATAAAATTTATAATTATATGATTATGTAATAAAGTCCTCATTCTTATGAAAAGAAAATATTATTATTATTAATCTTTTCAATCATTGTCTTTCATTATCCTATATTAATATGCTAATTTTCTTTTTTCCTACACTTTTATTATTATGATCTTTGATTTGCTCCTTTTTTCATGTTAAAATTAGTCAATAATCAACATGCATGCATGTGTCTGCAACACAAAAATCTTTTTGGGAGTTCCGAATTACTCCGCATTAATATAAAATATGTATTAGTATGTTTAGGTTCATTTTTTAAAAAGTCAAATTAATTAATTAATTAGCAATAATAATGTCTGAAGTCATGGGGCCTTGATTTGTTGTCAATTCACTTATTTATTCATTTTCCTAATTGGCTGATTTCATTTTGAGTTTCCTGTTTGTTTTTCTTTTCATTCAGAATTATTTCAGCTAATTCAATGATTCTTTTCAAGCTATTATCTCATTTTTCAAGTCATCATCTATTTCTCTTAAGGCTCCGAAAGAAACGAAACGAATTTTAGAGTGATTCGATTCGAACTAACCAGATTTCTAAATTTATATTACACAAGTGAATCTCAATTTAGTGTGCCTCGATTTAATGGATCGAGGATAAACTAAAACTACAATAATAGTAATATTCTTCTCAATATAACAAATTTCTTGATATTAATATTAATATAATAATAGAAAAAAATTTTTAATTGATAAAGGGTATTATTATAATTAGTGATGGTTGCTGAAACTATTTTTTTTAAAAAAGATAGTTTAGCCCAATACTATGGTAGCCCAATATTTTTTATAATGACAAACATATAAGTATATAAATCAATCTACTTTATTTTAAAAACAAAAATAATTTCAGCTATTATTAAAATTAGCTTCGCCCAAGTTTAGGCAAATTAAGCTCGGCAATTTCGGCCCATAAATAAGGTAGTTTCAGCCATCATCACTAAATAATATTATTATCTAAGCTCTCTATACCAAACGAACAAAAGCAGAAAATTTACATATAAGGGACAGTGGTTCGGTATAGAGAGCTTAGACTGTATTGTTAATTGATAACAATAGTTGTACAATTCATTAATAAATGGTAACGATGCTATAGATTCGAATCAAAGCATAATTTGGATTCGATTCGAATGAAACAAACCAAAAATTAAGTGATTATATTCAATTCAATTCAGATTGCATTGATTCATTCGAAGCCTTAATTTCTCTATGTAAACTTCTGTTTTCATTAGTTAAATTTTGATAACCATTTTGATCTTGATTTTTTTTTTTCGTTGTTTGGCTGTTGATTATCTTTATTTTGGTTATCATTTATTTCTTGCCTTGCTCAACTATCTACCTCCCCTTTCAATAGCTTGTTTCAGCCAGCTCTTCATTTTCTTCACTTAATGCATCCTAATTCTAAAATTTGATTAATAATCATTTCTTCTTTGGAAACTCTCACTACCTGATTGTCTTTTATATACAGCATATTAGTCACCCATTACTTGAGCATGATCTTGTTTAATGTGCTAATTTTCGATATCCTGGTGAGCTAAATTTATATGCTTTTTTTGCTTTATCTAGCTCCCATTGCTTCTCTGCTACTTTTCTTTGAAATAACTTGCTCTCTCTTTGCATTTGATCTATAAATTTTCCTCTTCCTCTTTGTAAAATTCAATATTAATTTTATGGATTTATTAAGGTATGTATAACTTTAATCAGTACAAATTATAAACGATACAATATATCATTTTTAATTTTGTTCCATCTAAAACACTAAACTGGAGAAAAATTTCTTTTCAATTTAATTGCAATAATTTATCCAGGTTGGAGAAACCTTTAGCGACTTGAGCTTTTTGATTTCTCTATTTAACCTGTTTATATTTGAGTCAACAACATTTTTTTGTTTTAAATAGTGTATAGGTTTATCCCCAAATGAAATTACAAAAATGAAACTCATCTACATCAAGTCCACTACGGAACCAAAGAATTATATAACACAATCAGAAGTATTTTGAAGAATGAACAAAGATGAAAAAAATTGCTTCTTATCTTTTCAAGATAATGTTACTAAAAATTTATGATGGTAGGAAAAAAGAAGATATTTTTATATGAGAATTTTGTTTTATTTATAAGTTAAAAAATTGATACTTAAAATAAAAAATTATAATTTATGCCAAGTTGAGAATAATAATTATTTCGATTATATTTTTTGCATAAACAGCCAAAATAATTATTTGTAAATAAAAAAAATAATAAATATAAATAAATAAAATAAAATTAATTATTGTTACATTACATTTTTAATAATTTATTTCCATAGTGTGTTATTTATCAAATATTAAACATGGCTAGTTGACCGAAAACTTTAATTACCCGAATTTTGCATTAAAGGCTCTAATACTTACTAATCAAA